GAATGTCACCTCGAAAAGTAGAGGACGCAACACGGAACATCCTCTTCCTCTCCGCGATGTCCTCCTTGTAGTCCTTCCACCATTGCAATTGGTCTTGATCCATGTCCTTCTTGGACATCATCATGTGCTCTTTCTCTTCCACCATGAGTTCTTTCCATACCTTTGCCTCTTTGAGCTTGATCATTCTCTCCTCCAACTCGGCCTTGCGCTTTGCTTCTTCATGCTTTGCTTCAACTTGTGCAAGCTTGACCTCTTTCTTCTTCTCGGTGATAAGAAGCTTCATCTCCAATGTCTTCGTTGTCAATTCCTCTCTTGCCTTCATCATGTGGTCCATCTTCTCCCTTAGGCTTGACGCCTCTTCTTCCATCTTCACCCTTAGCTTGCCTTTCTTGTTTCCCTCGGGCTTGCCCACGTTCCTCTCCTCCTCATCTTCACTATCGTCCATCCTTAGCATTGCCGACTTCTTGGGTGCGGTCTCTTGATCCCTCAACTTCCACTTGTCAAAGGTTTGAAGAATTGACCAAACATGCTTAAATGGGAATGGCTTGCCCTTGGAAGCGGCCATCTCCTTGTACCTCAAGCCGGCAATTGTCTCCTATCAACCACACATAAATCACATAAGAACCCACCAATAGCATAGTGCACACACATAATCAAAATAGTGAAGAAATATGTACTCACATAGTCACTCTCCACGGTTCCACTAGGTGGTGCATCCCTCACTTGGTCCATGGCCGCACTCCAACGAGAACAAGCGGGCTTGATCAACTCCCACCGGCCTTGAAGCGACCGGAAAGTGCGATGGATGAACCCACTATTCTTCGGCTTGATCCTACAATAGACGTCCTCGATCCTTTGCCAATAGAGTTTACCGGTTTGATCGGTGCCGATGGTAGCATCCATTCCCACAGCTGCCCAAGCACGAACCAAGAGGACATCTTCTGCCTCGGTGTAGTTTGTCGACCGCGCGTGTGGGCGGGAAGCGGCGGTGAATGCCTCCACCCCTATTTCGGCCACCTCCTCCTCGTCATCCCCTTCATCCTCCTCATCTTCCTCCTTTTCCTCCAAGTCGTCGCCAACCCTAAAGGGGTCTAGAGGCGGAGCTCCGAGGTACACCTCCGCGTTTTGGAGGAGGTCCATGAACGAGGATGGGGTTGCCATTTCCTCGAACACCTCGTGTGCGGTGGGAGGAGGTTTGGCGACGGTGGCGGGCGGGGCCGCGGCCGCGGCGACGGGCTTCTTCCGCGGCTTCTTCACGGCCGGGGACGAGCCGACGACCTTGGAGGAAGCCCCTCGAGGCCCACGGCCGGCCGCCTTCGGCCGGCTTTTCTTGGGGGCGGGCGAGGCGGCCGTGGC